AAGACTTAACACTTTCTTCTCTTTTAATGTGCAGGATGGGATAATCTAGAATGCAAAGAATAAAGCAGATAGCTTAAAAATAGGAAGACCACCTTGGTAGAAGCTTTTTGTACAAGTTTGTTGGAATATTTGGAAAGCTAGATGCAAAAATTTTACTTGACAGATGACATCCCTAATAACGATATTGCCTTCTCTAGCACTCAATAGATAAATAATGACTTGAAGCCTCTATTCAAGATCAACCGTTTGGGCAAAAACAACTCTACAGATGAAGGAAAATGGAGCCCACCTAAACCCAAATAGGTTAGACTCGACACTGACGGTTTTGTCAATATTAATGGTGTTGCAGCTTGTGAAGACATCATCGGAGATAATAAGGGCAATTGGATTAAAGATTTTTTTCAAGTTCCTTGAATATCAACCTAGCATAGTAGTTGAACTCATAGGAATATTTGAGGGACTTAAACTTTGCTGGAATACAAAGTTATCAAGAATCAATATTTATTTTGATTTGATGGAAACGTTGTCACTCATTAACTGTGCCTACTATGAGAGTCACCCGTATTATGACATTATTAGAAAGATCAGAGATCTTGTTATGAGAGATTGCTAATGACTCTTTTACTGATCAGATTATTTCGCATGCAAACAATTGGAAGTTTGCTCTATTTTACGATAACAAAACTCCGACAACTTGGATGGTTTTATCATGAACCTTCATGAATTATAGCATCGTGAAGGTCTTGTTTATGGCACTACATATTTTGGAAAGAGGACAACTTCTAGTCTAGTTTTATCTACTTTTTTATTAGTTCGTTTTACTATGTGCGATTAATATCATTTTTTCACTTCATATGTCAATCCTACATTGTGTTATTCAAGGGTTTCTAGGCAAGGAATTCAACAGTCTAAAGCTTTGGTTGTGGGCTTTCAAATGTCACGAGAGATTACTTAAGCTTTTGATTTCTATTATCAACGGAAATTAAAGTTACATTTAATTCATGGTACCTTTTTAATTTGTTGATGGGCCATTCTTTGAAAAAGTTATTGATATACTTTCAATGAGTTGTTTACCTTTTTCTTTGCCAGTTCTAAATTATCACGATATAGGTCATTTAAATTTACTTTTCCAGATTTCACTAACGGGACCTAAGTTTATCATCGAAGGGGCTTTTTTTTTTATGTTCATATAATGACTTTTGATTAAAAATAAAGCATTTAAGCAAATTGATGGGGTTCCTATTGTAATGTTTTGCGTGAGTATAAATTTATAATCTATCAATGTATTTTTGCTCTGTATAGTTCATTTAAGTTTCTTCCACCAACTAATTGATTTAAGTTACACATGTAATATTTTTAAGTTGCAGATTACTTAGGCTAATTAATTTCACAGCACAAGATACAAATTTCAAAATGTAAACAAAGATAGTACTCTCCTTATCTTAACTTATAAGACATTTTTAAGCAAAATTAAACATATAATCAATTAATCTCATTAATTACACTGTACTACCTTATTTTTTTAAAAAATATAAATTCAAAAAATATTCTTAATTTAATACTCCATTTGGCCTATGTTATAGGACACATTCTAGAAGACACATGACAGATTAATTATTATCATTTTTCAATTTTACCCTATTATAAATTGAATTTCATGACTCATTGTACATATGATATGTATCTTTCTCTTCCTATTTTTTTTATAGGAATAAAGTTGGAAAATTTTTTAATTTTAAGACATTCAATAAGATAACAATCGTTTATTAATTTGAGTCAAGTAGTTCAAAATATTTTATAATTGAAACAAAAGAGAATATAGTAAACCTTAGAGAGAGAGGGAGAAAATTATAAGGAGATAAGGATAAATAAAACCATAAATAAAACCTTATTTTTCATTAAAATGTTTCATATTTTGATATATCAAATAATCTCTAAAATTGTCTTATAAAATGGAATAATGAAATAATTTATTAATTAAAATATAAATTACCATAATACAGAGCTTTTTTTTTTTTTGGCCAGCGAGCATAATGCAGACCTATTCAATGCGCTACTATGATGCGTCCTTGTCGAACCAAACTTTAGACCGCGACTAATTCTGTATATATATGTGAGAGCCTTGAATTAAGGTTTGACAAACTAAAGAATGTCATAACTTGTTTCATTATATATTACTTCTAATTCTAAAGTAAAAGCCCTCACGGAAAAGTTAAGCGAAATTTAACATACTTAATAAAACACGTTTCTTTTGTTTTCTTTTCCTTTTTTTTTTTGATAAGCAATAAAAACACGTTTTCTCTTGCGTGTGGGTGATGGGGAAAAGCAAAAACAAGAAAAAATCCAAATAGGGAAGGCGCAGCTGAAATTTTCGTGGCATTAATCTCCATCTATGTATATCTTTTTGGCGTTTGTGCATAATATAATAACCAGTATATATGTAGGTGGTGTTGAATGAGATGACCAATGTTTATATATCAGGCTTGGGTTCTCTTTTAGGCAAAAATGATTCTGCATGGAAAGAAACTCATGAAACACTTGTTGACGAGTCTTTGTTCACACAGAATTGTCATCTTGGAGAGAATACTTTTTAACCCTGTTCGTTTAGTATGAAGCTATGATGCAATGTTTCAAAAATATCAATCCACTTCAACATTAATTACTTTATCTATTCAATTCATCATCTTGATTAAAGGTGTATGTCAGAATGTGTTACACATTTGTCTAGTGCATTTAGAAATGTATATGCCTGGATACGTACGCGCGCGCGCGTATATATATGTGTGTGTGTATGTTGCAAGCTAAGCATTGAGTCCAAAATTTGATGCGCAGTTCAAATATAAAATGCATTTTTTTTTTGTAAATACCATGATAATACGTTTATTGTTTGTGGTAAATTTTATGATGAAATTATATTACAGCAGTTACTTAATTAATCTAGGCTTTGAATGATCATGAATTATATATATATATAATATCAATTACAGCCCGTGGATTTTCTTGGACATGCAGGGTTTCGTATTAACAAAGCAAATCATGCAGTATTTCAAGGCTTCAAGCTTTTGCTGACGATCGATAAATACGCTCTTCATAAAATCTTCCTTGACCAGGTTATATATTATACAAATTAGCCTGGCAGTTTGTCCATTCAAATAAGGCACGCTTTGTTGAAAGGGTTTTGGTTCTTTAAAAAAAAGAAAAAGAAAAATCAAACCCATTTGTTTCTTGAAAATAGCTCATAGCAGTCTTTGATTTAATTATATGACAAATAATGGTCAGATGAATAGAAAGGACTCAGTTTCTTTTAATCAAAATCCACGGTGATTCGGGCATATAAATTAAAAAAATTATATAAAAAACATAATTTTTAATTTCTATACTTTATTATTAGTTCTCACACTTTTTTTAATATTTTAGGTTTGTACATTTTTATTTGTTAATATTTTAAACTTCTTTATGAATAAAGAGTAGGGATCTTGAAAGGACCTAAAATATTAACATATAAAAATATAAGAACTTAAAACACTTAAAAAAGTATAAAGACAATAATAAAATATGAGCAAAATATAAGGACTTAAAATTATATTAGGCAATAGTTATTTTTAATTTAATCTAACAATGTTCGAATCATACAACTATACTTTGAGTCCATGTTAATTCATAGAAATAAGTGTTTTTTTTTTAACAAAAAGAAGCAAGTATTGTTTGACATTAACATAAAACTAGTACATATCAATTAATATTCATGGTTCCGTCCCCCCCCCCCCCAAAAAAAAAAAGATTAATATTCATGAAAAAGATAAGGCTATGAAATTTATTTGTCCTTACATCAACTAGCACCAGTTTTAATATCACATGTATTTTATAATTCAGATCAACCAGCAGAGATATCCATCTAATTAAGCATTCATATCTTGTTCAATTATTTAACTATAAGCTTATTTATTACACTGAATGAATTACTTTACTTTTAAATAAAAATCTGTTATCATAGTAAATTACTTTACTTTACTTTGTTATAAAATTAATCAACTTGAAATAGTTATAAACATGAAAAGAAGTGAAAGCGTGAAAGGGGTGAGAATGATAAAGAAAATTTTATAATAATATTATTTATATTTTTTTTTATTTTTAATTCTCTCTATTCAATAGAAAATATAAATTTAGGATTGCTTTAAAGGTCATTTGAAAGCATTTCATTCTATTTTGAAATTTTTTTCTTAAACAATGATATATAATTTTTAGCCATCTTGTTTCACTACATTCCATTTAAAAAAAAAATCCAAACACCGTCTAAGAATTAAGTTTCAATCAAGTAATAAAATATAGAAATTAAGTTGCATGAATAGAAATTTAAGGGCTAAGTTTTAATTGAAGCAAAAGGAATTAAATAAATTTTTTTCTTATGTATTTTCTTTAAAGATAAATATAAAAGGAAAAAAAGAACAAAATGGCGATATAGCGGGGTGAATATCTCGTGATACGATATGAGGAGAAAAAGGCGAATGTGGGGATGGGGGGACAAGTGCTCCCCGCTCACGCTTTGAGAGCGTGTGGTGCTCTTGCGCCCAGGTGCACGAAAGTTCTTATCGTAACTACATAAAAAGAAAAGCAAAATCAAAGTGATATTTAACTCTCCATGCGCCCTTTTTCATAAAGAAAAGCAACCCCTTGCTAACTTGCGCCATTGGGGTGTTCCCTACGCCCCCTCCACTTCTTCCCCCTTCCCTTCCATCAGTCCCTGCCCGTCAATACCACGACAAACCCACTTCCCAATAAAAACACACCAACTTTCCATGACCGTCAACACACACGCCGTTACTCTACCATCCAATGCCTCCTCGACACCTCTCCGCTCCCCTTAACGCCGTTTGTACCTTCTCCGTCAGAGCCGCCTTTATTTATGATCCTCATCGTCTCCTTCCTTTTTCTTTTATTCTTTTTTCAATATTTTCTCACTGAAAGTGAGGTTTTCTCCGTTGTTACCGGCTGTGGCCGGTCAGTCTGACTGGTTACTGCCGGTGGTGGCTGAGACTGGTTAAGGATTGACCACGGTTGAATCTGTTGTGCACAGTTTTGACCACTCTGGTTAAGTCTCCCTCCAGAGTACACAGAGAGAGATACTGTGAGATGTTTCGGGTGCAGGTAGCGTTTATCTTCTGAGACAGGGTCCTCAGGATATCGTGTTCCTGTGATCGCGAGGGTCAATTTAGGTTGAGAATTGGGAACGACGGGTCGGAATTGTGTGGTGTTTCCGGTGAAGAAGCTCTGTTCTGAGCGTTGAGGTTCAGTTTTTGACTGGAGTTGGCGTATCTGTCTGTAGGTTGCGGAGAAGGACGTTGGACGAGGAAGCAATAATACTAACGCTTCGCTGATTTCGAGAGTTTTGGTGTTTTGGTTTGATCATCTGGTCACTGGTCCCTGTACTTCCGGCCGGGTTGTTTAGTTGTGGGTTTTCGAGGAGGAGGGAATCCGTGAAGGCGTAGGTCTGAGTCTTGAGATGTGAAATCACCTGGGAATTGTCTAGAAAGCGTCTTAAATGACAGATCTGTGCTGAGATTTCAGAAAATGGCATCATCTGAGGTATCGATAAAGGGCAATAGTGTGAACGGGAAGGGGGAAGGTTTTTCTTCTGGTTATAGCAACCATGACGATGCTAGGAACGGTACAGAGGGTCAAAATGCTCAATCATTAACTGTGAAAGGTAATTCTAGCGAATTAGTAGTATATTCCCTGAGAAATTTGTGGTTCCTGAAATATTTGGAACGATGACGGCCTATAAACATTTTCTTTCTGCCCCACAGAAGCAGAAGCTGCGCTTTACAGAGAGCTATGGCATGCCTGTGCTGGCCCCCTTGTTACAGTCCCTCGGGAAGGAGAGAGAGTCTTCTATTTTCCTCAAGGACACATCGAGCAGGTGATTCCCAAATGATTTCCGAGCCTCGTTTGCTTCGTCGTCTGGGAATCGTTGTTATTATTCGAATTTCTAGCTGCCTTGATAAAATTTCCTCAATGTTTATAATTATCAGAGGTCAGATGTGTCACGACATGCAAGAGTCTGACTTCTGACCCTGCTTTTTTGTTATCTCTTTACTATTTAGTGCTGTATTTGCGCCTTGAAGGATGATGATTTCGAGCCAGATATTGCTCCAAGGCATTTTTTTTAATCAGCTAGTTTACATGAATTTTTGTTGAAGTTGCTGAACATCTGTGTATGTTTTCCTGCCACATTAGGTTGAGGCGTCTACCAATCAGGTGGCGGACCAGCATATGCCCGTGTACGATCTACCTTCCAAAATCCTGTGTCGGGTGATCAACGTGTTGCTGAAGGTAATGATGCTCGATCTATGCCGAATTATTTATTCAGACGCTTTTAAACGAAGCGACCTTTATAGAGTTGTAGCTTTTAAATGTTTCACATGACAACTAATTTTATTTTCATTTCTTTCGTGCAAATTTCAGGCCGAGCCAGACACTGACGAGGTGTTTGCCCAGGTCACCTTGGTTCCTGAGACCGATGTAAGTTCTGCACTCGTTCAAGCCCATAAGGATGCGGAAAACTATTAAAGAAAAAAGGTTCTCATAATTGTTTTTTTAATTTTTAATTTTGATGTAAATGCCAGCAAGATGAAAACGCCGTGGAGAAAGGGCCTCCGCCGCCTACGCCCCCTCGATTTCACGTGCATTCTTTCTGTAAAACTCTGACTGCCTCTGATACAAGTACTCACGGTGGCTTTTCGGTTCTGAGGCGACATGCTGATGAATGCCTACCTCCTTTGGTGCGTATCCTTTTTCTCTCATTCTACACCAAAATATTTTTGGTCAAAACTGAAGTTGGAATTTTCTGCTATTCTCTGTTGACAGGACATGTCTAAGCAGCCACCTACCCAGGAGTTAGTGGCAAAGGATCTGCATGGCAGTGAGTGGCGATTCAGGCATATCTTTCGAGGTGATTACTCATAACTGAAAGTTCATCCTGTGATTGAAGGATGCTCGCTGAGAATGAACTTGGTGTCCAGAGGATTGAGACACAAGCTTCGCTTTTATTCATAATTTTAGCTGATTAATCTGCTAGATAGATAGGCATTTGAATATACTGTTATTTTTATCTGCTGATTGTTACTGGTGACAAAAACTCCAGGTCAGCCTCGGAGACACTTACTGCAAAGTGGTTGGAGTGTTTTTGTCAGCTCCAAGAGGCTTGTTGCAGGGGATGCCTTTATATTTCTCAGGTTTGTATACTTTGAATGGGCTTTTAGATTGTCCTTGGTTTATTACTTTGCTTCTCTTTATTAGAGGGGACTAATTAAGAATTTCCAGGGGGGAGAATGGGGAGCTTCGTGTTGGTGTCAGGCGTGCAATGAGACAGCAGGGTAATGTTCCATCCTCAGTGATATCCTGTCATAGCATGCATCTTGGTGTCCTTGCGACTGCTTGGCATGCTATCTCAACCGGCACCATGTTCACTGTGTATTACAAGCCCAGGTTTGTTGCTCATCGTTGAAAGTATGATTAATAACTTATTTTAGTAGTTTCAGTTTGACCTGCATCATGTTCTGGTGTTATGAATGCCACTGTCCATGATTGTGACTGATATTAGAGCATATGTTTTGATTTTCCATGGTAACATTTGTAGTGCTTTCAATGATGCAGGACAAGTCCGGCTGAGTTTATTGTTCCATATGATCAATATATGGAGTCTCTCAAAAATAACTACTCAATAGGGATGCGATTCAAAATGAGGTTTGAAGGTGAGGAGGCTCCAGAGCAAAGGTATGATCATTTAATGTTGTCTTTTTACTCTCTTGTGGTATCTTCTCTTTCCTTCTCCTGATAATGTAGTCCATGATAATAGTTATATTACTAGTTACTTGAATTTAAGTTAAAAATGGAAGAACTTTTTTGACACAATCTCTTAAATTCTAGGTTTACTGGTACCATTGTTGGAATTGAAGATGCTGATCTCAACAGGTGGCCAAATTCCAAATGGAGATGCCTCAAGGTTGTATTTCTAGTTTTGATCTTGCAACTATTTTTGACTGTCAAAAAATGTCGTAAGGTAAAATTGAGCTCTGTTTGTCTTCTAGGTGAGATGGGATGAAACATCTAATATACCTCGCCCCGACAGAGTTTCCCCTTGGAAAATAGAGCCTGCTGTTGCTCCCCCAGCTTTGAATCCGCTTCCAATGCCCAGGCCTAAGAGGCCTCGCGCAAACTTGGTTCCATTATCCCCCGACTCCTCTGTTCTTACTCGAGAAGGTATGATTGGCTTACTGTTGGTGTATTATCAGAAGTATTATGCATTTTCAGTTTGGTTAAGTCTGACTTTTTCATTTGGTGGCGGTGGCGATGGGGGCTTTAATTTACAGCCTCTTCTAAAGTAAATAAAGACCCTTCACCAACAAGTGGGTTTCAAAGGGTCTTGCAAGGTCAAGAATACTCGACCTTGAGAGGCAATTTTGCGGAAAGCAATGAGTCAGTTACTGCAGAGAAGTCTGTTGCGTGGCCACCTGCAGTAGATGATGAAAAGATTGATATGGTTTCCACCTCAAGAAGGTACGAGTCAGAGAGCTGGATGTCAATGGGGAGGCATGAGCCAACTTACCCAGATCTACTATCAGGTTTTGGAGCCAGTGGAGATTCTTTTCGTCCGCCCTTGGCTGATCAGACTGGCCCTCTGGCTAGTCCTGCTAAAAATCGTTCATTGGACCCGGAAGGGAGGTTTAATGCACTGGCCAGTCCATGGCCTGTAGTGCCCTCTGGTCTATCACTAAACCTCCTGGACTCGAACATGAAGGGTTCTATTAATGGTGGGGATGTAACATATCAAGCCCCAGGGAATGTGAGGTATGGTGCATTTGGTGACTACCCAGTTCTCCATGGTCATAAAGTCCAGCAGTTACATGGGAATTCATTGATGCCACCACCATCTACAACACAATATGAGAGTTCTCGTTCAAGAGAGTTAATGTCAAAACCAGCATCAGCACAAACAAGTGAGCCTGCCAAGCCTAAAGATGGGGATTATAAGCTCTTTGGCTTCTCACTCATCAGTGGCTCCGTTGTACCAGAGCCATCTGTATCCCAAAGAAATGTGACTGGCGAATTACCTGGTCACATGCATCCTGCATCTTGCAAACCTCACGAAGGTGATCAGAAATCAGACCAACCGAGGGGCTCAAAACCAGCTGATGCAGTCGTTGATGATCCAGAGAAGTCGTTGCAAGGATCCCAGGCACATTTGAGAGAGGTTCATGCCAAACCACCCGGTGGTTCTGCAAGAAGTTGCACTAAAGTAAACCCCCCCCCCCGCCCCAAAATTTGATAATTTTACAAGATAAGTTGGAATTTAGAAAAATTAATCATCAAATCTCAATTCTAGGTACACAAGAAGGGAATTGCACTTGGTAGGTCAGTGGACCTCACAAAGTTCAGCAACTATAATGAATTAGTTGTTGAACTAGACCACCTGTTTGAATTTGGTGGTGAATTGACGTCTCCAAGAAAGGATTGGCTTATTGTCTACACTGATGATGAGGGTGACATGATGCTTGTTGGGGATGATCCATGGCAGTAAGTACCTTTAGACTATACATCCATTGATGTTTGATTGATTATATGGCGTGTTTCATCTTTAAGGGATGTCATTTGCATGATTTGCATGATTTTACATCTCGATGCAGGGAGTTCTGTGCCATGGTTCGCAAAATTTATATCTATCCCAAAGAGGAGATTCAAAAAATGAGCCCAGGTACACTGAGTTCAAGGAATGAAGAGAATCAATCAGCTAGCGAAGCTGCAGACGCCAAAGTTGAATGTCTGTTGCATCAGCCGTCTTCACTGCCTGATAATTCATAGGAATTGTTTTCCATAGCTTCCAGGTAACATTGCTGCTCTGTTCCAGTTGTCACTGGATTCATTGTCGATGGTCTCTCTAGATGACCAGCAACTTTCATTTTCAACTTGTCCACTTCACTTTGTTGACAAATGGAGATTTTTGAACTGAGCCTAATTTCCAATGTCATCTATTCAGGGCTGGAAAAGTAGGATGTGCCAAAAGCCATCCAGTTGGAAATAGGATCTGAAGACTGAAAGCCTTATTGTGAACTGACAAGGGACTAGTTGTATCAGAATATGGATAATTTTTGGACCTATCCTGGAATTAGTATAGTGCTAGTAGATGTTATGCAGTGAGCGAGGTGATATTATTAGCCTTGAATTTTTCATCAACCCTACATTGTAAATAGTTGTTTCCCTCCCTCCCCCGGATCCCCGCTCCATTCCGGCCCATAATGTAAGTTCATTTGTGGTAGCTGCTGCGTATTGGTAACATCAGTTTATCTGATTTTGATTGTCTGTGATTGTCTCAAGACTAGTAAGTGATGTCAGATTGATGATTGAGATAGAAGTATCATGAAATATTACCGTTTACAAGGTGTATATTTTATGCTGCCTCTACAATTTTGAAAGGCTCAAATGACTTTTTTTATCATGACTTTGCGCTTATGGCGAATGGAGGATGATGGTATTGGACTGTCGTGTGAGGCGGAATGGAGTTGTTGGAAGTACTCGGCTATTGCGTCTTTACCTTCGTTTGCCATGACTTGGGTCATCTTCATTGGTCCAAGTTAGACGTGTTTTCTTGACTAAATCAAAACCTCTATGAATGAGGATATTTTGGTTGAATTTGATGGGGACATTTGTGTTGATGGTTAGTGGTTGAAGATTCATTCGTTGTTTTGGAACCCTGTCTTTGAAAACAATTTTTCTTTGAACCTAAAGTGCCAATTAGTTTGGATGTTGTTTTTATCAACGCCCACATCCAATGTTGGTATTCAAGTTCTAATTCTCAATCATCACACGACAGATGCTTATATTTTAAAGGACTGAGGATTTAAGATCAAATTCTTGTGTCAATTGGACTTTGTAGGCGGAAAACTGAAGGTACAATAAACCACAGGAGGGGGGTGCTAAAACTCAGAATGAAGTCTGAGTAGGGCATAATTTTGGAAAAATGTTCAAAAGGAGTTAATTTCAGATTGCAAGATGCACTTATTGTGCTAGTCTCTAACTAGTATTCTGCCCCGTGCATCATCCGGAATAAGTTATTGGTTCTTTACGAACAAGATGACAAACAAAAACATTCATAGGCAAAAACATAAAGGCTTAGATTGCTGAGGCCAGTCAGACAAAAGATATTCCATCTATCAAGCACAAAAAACTTAATTCAGGGAGCAAAAGCCGTAGATATTCCTTGATGCAACGCTTTAATCTTAGGGTTGTGATGCTTGAGAATTAGACCATCGAGGATTGATTTCAACTCTTGATAAAGTTTAATGGTTTGTCATAATTCTGTGCCCCTTAAATAAATAGTAAAGCTTTAACAATTTGTTTGGTTAAAATTGAAATGACACTTGCTTAGAATGTCACAACAGATATAGCAGGAATTGGATTGACTGAATGAAGCGTTAGGTCCAATGAGGAATTCGACAATGACGAGTTTGGTCTAGAGCATGGTAAAATGATTAAGGAAGCATGGTCCTTGAATGCCTTGAGAATCAAAATTACGAGTAGGGTCGTTGCTTTGCAAAAGACCATGATCTAAATGAGTCTCCAATCTTGCAAGATTGTAACCTTTCACCCACGAATATTTTGGGAACACGGGCTGGCAGTTACTAACGACCAACATGGTCTGCGCACATTATAAATATAAAGAACAGCAATAGAGAAGAGGACATGTAAAAAACACCTTGAAATTTTTAGGAGCTTTATTAATCATTAGCTTTTATTTTTAGTTTACTTTCCTATTTAGTTTACCTTAGCAATTTACCCATTGTAATTTCGTGCTCGCGCACACTATTTAACCAAACTTGTTTTATTCTATCTCAACTTGCATTTCTACATTTGGGTGAACTAAAATAAATGAGCCTGATAATTCATTTTATTTGAGACCCAATATTTTTGACATGCCTGGTATTTTATTTGTTTGGTTGATTTGCTTCCCAAATACAAACACAATCAATGACATCGTTCCTGAAAAAAAATTGAATGAATCGATGTTCACCATGAGAGTTTCAAGTAGAGGACCACAAACAAAAATATATAACGGGAAAAAAAAATAGATGAAAGGAGTAAATGTTTTTGTAGGTAAAGATGCGGAAAGAATTATGACTCTTCTTCCTTAATATAACATTAGCTATAATTATTAGAAGTTACTTATAGGTTAATATATGGTGTAATTATAATTATTGACTCTTCTTTCAATTAGTTTAGCCTTTAGCGTTTCATATACTTACATCCTCAATTTCGCTCATGGATTTCAATGACTTCCAAATGCCCAGAAAAATTTTATTTTTAATATTTGTAATGATATTAATGAGAAAACAATCCTGGAATCTTCACAAATTGAGAGGAATCAGGCTCCTTACGACCCAAACGATGAGAGCGATCTTAAATGTGACGTTTTAAAGAGGCCACTGGGACAGAATGGGTCCATTAAAAAGAGACACCACTGCGGATTGATTTGGCCCAATAAAACAACAAAACGACTACTTTTAGAACCAAGTCATTGATTGCCGTTGCGCAAATTGAAGATCATCTTCCAGCTCGCTAGCCTTAGGACTGCATGTAAAACTGAATGAAATTGAATTTTAATCTAACTCAAAGTCTGATTTTTTTTTTTTATGTAAAGAACTAGATTAAGTAACTCATAGTTTAGTTTGATTCAATAATAATTCAAAAATTAATAAAATCAGACTTGATCCATAAAATTAAAAGACTGATTCTATTAGTCCATTATTTATTTAGAGTGTGTTTGATTATAAGTTTTTAAAAGGAAAAAAAGTTGCTCCCCTTCTCTTATTTGGTTAGTGATTAATAAAGGGAGGGGAGGGGAGGGGAATTCCTTACTGGGTTACAAAAATTAAAGAGGGCCCTCCCCTTCTCTCCCTTCCCTTTCTAATCCTCCCCTTCAATTTGGGGTTTTTTAAAGAGGAAAGGAGAGAGAAAATAATTAAAATAAATTTAAATATTTATTTTAAAAATTTTAAATTACTTTTGATATTAAAAAATTATGTATTATCTTAATCTTTTTCTTTCTTATGATAAAATAAATTATCACCTTATGAAAATTAATATATAATTTTTTAATATATAAAATTTTAATATTTTTTTATTAAACCTATTGATAAAATATAATTTGTTCTTCAATTTTTTCTTGTTAAGTTCATATTCTTAAAATAAAAACTAAATAAATTCTAATATAACAATTTTTTTCAAAGCAAAAAAAAAATCAAGTTAAATTTTATAAAAATAAAATTATTAACTCATTTTTTATTTTCATTCCCTCCCCTCCTAAACCAAACAAAAATTTATTAAAACCCCTCCACTCAAATTAAACACACTCTTAGCTTTTTTTTAATTTATTTTTCTATAAGAAACAATAATCCATTTCAACTTAATAAACTCAATTAAAATAATAAAAACATTTATAATCATAATAATTTTCAAAAAGAAAAAAAACTTCAGTTACAATCTAAATGGTCCAAATTATTAAATTATTAATCTAAACGTACAATCGTGCGAGAAACCAGACTTATTAAATTGTTAATAGATTCAACTTACTATTATAAATAATTAGTAAAATAATTATAATCATATTAAATAAATTTAATAGAACCAGATTGAACCAAGTGCTCTAGATATCCAATCTCCTGTCTGGTCTAACTTGAAAAAACAGTCTTATTTTTTTAATCTTTTCAGTTCTAAATGACCAATTATTAACAAGATCTAGTAGGACTGAACCTTCTCAAATCAAATTCAATTGAACAGAACTAGAAAACTTTTACACAGTCCTGCGTAGCATGAAGAAAGAGCCAAGACCTGCAAATGCTCTGTGCTCAATTGGTTCAATAATACGAAAATCCCTCTTCACTTAAAACTGATGCGACTACATACCATTCATAATTTATTTGAATTCTGAAGCGAGAAAAACCTACAAGCATCTGATCAGAGTTGAAATTGTAGCTTGATGGCCAGGGGTAAGAAACACAAAGAAAAGAACAGGAAATTTTGAACTAGAAGCTTGTCTTTCCCAAAAGACCTAGATCACGCCATGGTAGCCAGCTGACTCCAACAGTGCTGCTTTGATTTGATCCGGATGAAGAGCATCTTGACCATCCCTCCATTGCTGAAACAAAGTGAAAGTTATTAGTCTTTGTGACGACCAGCCCAAAAGCATAAACACAACCATGTTTTCTGGCTCAAGATTGTTTTAAGAAGATACATAAATGGCATATCAGGGACACGTTATAATGTTACATGATGATCAATGATATCATCATACCAGGTCGATATGTATGAATGCTTAACATTGTAAAAAATTCAGATCAGATGGATAGGATATAAAATTCACTAGTGATAAAACAGGGTGAAACTGACTTGTAGGTATTGATAACGAAAGGTGCTATACCTCAGCTCGAAAGATATCCATGGCAAAGCCATTAAAACAGCTAATAACAGCTTGATGGAGTTCTAACCCAAGGCTGTCCAGAGCCTTCATGGTTGAAAGCAAGAGGCCCGGCTTGCGACCACAAAACATGTGGATATTTACAGCTTTTCCTTCGCGCACCCGAACCTCAATCTATGAACAGTGTAGGAAAAAAAAGTTACATGACTTCAATGGGAAACAAATTAAAATTTCTAAATTCAATAGTAGGATAACAAGGTTTATATCACCTTCTAGGCGTCGAATATTGATTTTTATTTGGATATGATAACATGGTGGTATCTAGGTGTCATCATACAGTCACATAACAACTGAGCAAATGTAGGCATCAATTTGGGTATCCAAGATAGCAAGGGAAGCAAGATGTCAAGATCAAGATTCCAATTCATCCAACATCCATATTTACATCCATAATCTATTTTATCAAGGCAAATTAGATTTTTAGTGTTTTGTAAATAAACACAAAACAATGAACACATCGTGGACTTCAGCCACACAAATACAATAATGCAAATGATCAGCAAAACGAAGACATCAATGATTACAATGGACCACAAGCACACTATATTCATCGTTTAATTTACTTGCACGTGCGCCTTTCTAACACCTCTTGCCTAAGGTGTTTTTGAGATTCAATGCATTAAGGATGCCTTTACACTCTTTGACTACCTTTAAGGCAAGGGTAAACGTGGTAATTTGTAAACAAAGGATTATACAACACCTTTTAGACATCATCAAATGTAAATTTTTGTTCGGATGCGATACCATGGCAGTACTGAGGTATCACCATATAATCGTATAACGACTTACTAAATGCAGGCATCAAATCTAGGTATCCAAAATGACGAGGGAAGTAAGATGCCACAATCGATATATCGAACACATCCATAATTGCACCTATAACCTACTATCTCACTGCAATGGAGGAAAAATCACGTGGTAGACATCAATACATCCACCAAGATATTGGAATCGACAGTACTTACCCTTGCAGGTTGGCCGTTCGGGCTTGGCATTGAGCTGGGGCAAAGTTCATCCTTTATACGGTTGGGTAATGCAGCTGGAGTAGGTGTCAAAGGATGAAAGCTGGTGGTGGAGGGAGTACTTAGTGAAGAGCCAGATTCCAATTCGTTATGAATGTCGTTGATCCTTTGTAGAAGTTCTTTAAGGTACTCAATTGCATCGCCAAGTATTGAAGCCCTGTCCATCTATTCAAACAAAGGCATGCCAAAACAATCAAAATCTTAAAAGGCATGTTGTATGCATAAGAGGAGTGATCTTAGGTTCTCATGTCTATATACATTGGCCAAAAGATATTTCATAAAAACAAAAAACAAAGAGGAAAAGTTCAAAACAGATCCAGTCTGAACAAAAAAGTTAGATAAATAAAACCATAAAATATAAAATCACTCATCCCCCTCCCCCAAGTTACTATGTTACAGTTATCTTCGACTAAATCAGCAGCTTCAGTAGCAATCCTGCAAACTAAGATCAAAGAGAAGTACAAAATAATTAACAGATATTGGCTTCCTCTTAGTGGTGACATAATCTTTCTCCAGAAATTCTGAAAAATACCTTCTATATGCAAGTGTGAATTGAGGAAAAAGGAGACAAGTAAGCAGATCATCAACTTCAGAATTAAAAACAACCAGAAGTTGGATTAAAAAAAGACGAGTAAAAAGCATTCATTTAGATACTTTGTAATAGCATCAAAAGGGATCAAGCACAGTTGGGACATGAATTAAGAGGAAGAAGAGGGTAAGAATTTCTTACTTTGCTAATCTTTGGAACAACGGACCTCAGCATATACAGCCTATCATTGAGCTTCTTCCGACGACGTCGTTCAGCCATCAAATTCTTCGCAGGCATTCCCTTCTTCTTCCCCTTCTTATCCCCACCATCGCCACCAGTCACAGTACTGTTCACATTCGAGCTGTTTCCTCCATTCTTCCCGTTCTCCTCCGTCCTATTCTCAGTCAACTCATCGGAATCGTAATTCAACGCTGACCCGTCAAGGCTAGCGTCTTCCATTTCTTCCCAACAAGCCATCTTCCTCTTCCTCTCGTTCCCCTCTGCAATTTCAATCTTTCCTCCGTCTCTCTCAGTATCGTTATTTGCGAGCTTCTTTCGAAAAGCCACTCTCTTCTGAAACAGAGTGGGTTGTGCTCCCGATGGAGGTAACGATTCAAGGGGTCTCAAAATCTTGGGTCTACTTAGGAACAGCGGTTTTCCAGGACCTTCCTCGAAACCCCGAAAACCAGTAAAACTGCCATCGGTTACCTGCGATATACCTGACATTGGGACTTGTGGATCTGAGCATAAATTGGGAAGGATTATCTGGTTGTTATTTGAGCTGAAATCGGTGAAGCCTCGCAGAAGGCTAGAGCTGGAAGCTTGAGGCTCAAGAAACCCGACATCGCAACCCACACCAAACCCATGGTCTAAAGGAGTATTACCAGGGACGACATTGAGAAGAGACGACAAGTTGGGTTTGTGAGGAAGAAAGTACGGAACCTGAGATGGGTCGAGATTGTTGAAGACGGTGGTAGATGGGGAACATGGAGTGGACGAATCCACTGGGTTCAGCAATAGACTGTCTTGGTCGGCGAAGTTGGGAGAGAAAGTGATGTCTCTTATAATATCTGATTGATTTTGGATACCATTGTTGGCCATGTACCAGTCCTCGTCGATTTCAAGCATGGGTTTGAGAGCACACAGAGAACCCATCTCATCCTTGTTCTGGACAAAACCAGGATGGTTCTGGTTTTGGTTTTTCTCGATGTTGATGCCGGCGTTCATGTTAGCCCATGAAGATGGAGCAGTAGAGTCGTCTCCTTCTCTGTTTTCGTCCATCCAAGGGACACCGCTTACTCTGGAAATCATTGTGAAATTCTTCAGCAAGTGAAGTTTCTGGCTTTCGGGAGAAGAAGAGGAAGCGAAATTGGTTGAGTAGCAGAGGTGAGAAGGTGAGAGAGAGAGAGAGAGAAAGAGGGAGGGAGGGAGAGAGTTTAATGGAAGAGGACGTTGCAGAAAGAAAAGGGCATTGGCTTTTTGTAACTTAATTATCGAAGGACTGCGACAAGCAAAGCATTGTCTGCGAAGGTTACACACCACTGCTTATCAAATCCGGCTTCGGCAACAAAAGAGAAATTTCAGTTTAAAAACTTTTTCTTTTGCCGATGAAATATTTATATTAAAAAAAATAATAATAATAATTTTAAATCTATACTTAATTAATATTAAATAAAAAATAATATTAAAATAAATTTATCTAATAAAATTTTAATACTCAAAAAGTGTCTTATTTTTTTGTATAAAAATTTTTTTTAAAAATTTTTTATAATTTAAAATGAGAGGAGTAATATTTTTTTTATTAACATGACATTTATGAGGGAAAACATAATCATTGTTTTTTATAATTTTATCAAGTTTTATGTTTAATCTCTATAATTTATTTTAATATTTTTAATTCTTATAATTTTAAAAAGATTTGATGATTCTTGTTTTTCAAGTCTTTATAATTTTAATTTTTGGATATTTTTAATCTCTATTATAAAAATTAAAAACAAAACCCAATAAAATTATAATGACATGTTTTTCCTGTTTATTAATATTAATGTTTAATGTAAGAATTTTAATTAATCACATTATTTATTACTATGAATAATATGATCAAATTTTTTATATAATTATTTGATTGATAAATTCAAATATTATCACATTCAACTGAAAATAACTTTATCAAAAGTGTCTATAGGTTTTTAAACTCCTGTCCAGTGTATAGATAATAATTTTTAAATTTTTATAGCAAATCTATAAGATGCAGTGCTATTTTTTGTTTTTAGTGTTAATTGTAATTTTTAATATCTATAATTTGTGAAGATTAAATCTTTAAATGTAACTCTTCTGGGTCAAAATATCTTTATTATGAAGCTACGACTCAATATTGGTTTGCCTACCATTTATGGTATATTCTTGTTCAAAATTTGATATTATTACATGTTCAAAGCATATGAATATACATTTTTAGCAATAAAATAGCTCAATGTTTTACTACTCTATAATCACTGTTATTGAAATTAACAATAAAAAACTATAATAAATTAATTCATTAATAACAAATATGGTGACTTGAATGAGATAATTTAAAATACACCTATTATTGCATGAGGCAAACTTGGTTTTCTTTGGTTTTTTTATGTGTTATATGTGCATTAATGTGTGTAATAATTTTTTTTATGATTAGTATAATGATCTCTTTTCTCTTGAAAAAATGCATGGGTAAAAGTTATTTAAAACATGAAATATATGCGTTTAAATTCTAGTCGATCAGCTAGCATTAGGCATGAAAACATGGCTCGAAAGACATTAAGAGAGAGAATATATGCATATATATGTAATTATGCCTTTTCATTAAAAAATATAAGGTATTTTTAACTGAATTTTATCTTCAATAAAGTAATTATTTACTTTTAAATTAATCATATCTTTTTATATTTACTTCTATTAAACATCTCACAATAAATATAAAGTTATTATCAATAGAAGCACTTTAAAAAAAAATAATGATTACATCTTGAAAGATTAAAAATGCCTTACATTTTTTAACATTCAACTCTTCAAAAAATATCTTACATTTTTAAATGAAAGAAATATGTTCATATGAATGCATGCAATTATTTTTCTAATTAGTAATCAATTGGTCATTGGTTTACCAAAAAAAAAAAACTTATGATTTAGTTAGAGTTATTAATATTTTTTTTGGCCTGAAGTTAGAGTTATTAATATTACATATATTAGATAGGTTTTAAAAAAATAAATGCTTGTTTGAAACCATGCCTTAAAAGTATCGACATATAATTATAATGTACTATTTCGTTTTTAATATAAGAAAAATTATCATGTTTTTTTATTTATGAGTAAAATTATAAATTTTAAAAAGCATTTATTACATTTTTTTAAAGTTGTCCTCTATAAAATCAATGTTTATCTTTACTAGATAAACTTATTTCATTAATTACATGAATAGTTTACTCTAATTTTTTTTATTTTTAGACATAATTATTTCATTTAAACTAATTTTCTTAAATTGTGTGAGTTTAGTTGTTTTTTTATATTCAGAAATAAAAAAAATGCAATATTGTTTCCTGTAAAACATGTTCTAAGTCATGTCACACACATTCTAAATCATGTTAGTTATCAATAACATTATAGACAACAGGTAACCTTTTGTGATAAAGTTATAATAACGGTATCAATATATAATAAAATACAGAAAAGGAGATAGGAAGATAAAAAAGAAATGAAAAATGAAGTTGGCAGCTTTTAATGATTATTTGGTCACGTTGAAGACAAATGGAAAGTGAGATTGGCATCCAAAAGAAGCAATTGGTTTTTGGCTTGAAACTGAATTTGCAGTTTCTCTGCAAAAAGGTCAAGAAACTTGAGAAGGAACGCTCACATTTGAAACGGCAAATTTGTTGTTTCAGGCGCACACAGTTCTCAAAAGGCTTGTTTTGAGGACCCCTTTTTGGCTTTATCCCAATTTTGGCAAAACCACTGAACTTTTCTCTCGTCCTGCTCTTAACATTGTACAAATTTGGACTCTAATTTACATTATTCACACTCCCATTTCATCTCTCTCTCTCTCTCTCTCTCTCTCAATGCCTTGTCTAACCAAAGTCAATATATCATCCTAGCAACCTTGGAACTATGGCATTTATTCTCTCCATTTAAGAAATCAAAATAATTTTTAGTATACTCTCTCCTAAGATACTTTTAATTACATTTCACATGCTAATAAAAATAATTATTTTCTTATCTCCTTAAAAAATGAAATGTGTTTTTCTATGCCATTAATCTCTTTATTATGAAAAGTGAGAATGCATGTTTAGTTAGATTATATTTTTCATGCATATGTTAATTAATACTCCCTCCAATTCCTACTATAAGATGCATTTAATTATCTTATTGAAATTAAAGAGAAGTGATTAAATTATTAATTTGTTTTAATATATAATAAACTTTTAAAGCTACCCCTATTTAAATAAAAAATTTCAACTTTACATTGCATTTTAGGAGTAGTGTTGGAAAAAATATAATTAATATTACATCAAATGTCTTATATATTAATGACTAAATTCGTTTAGAAGATGTTTTATAACCAATGGAGTAAACTAGCATATTTAAGAAATCATTTTAAAATGTACTGAATATCTTATATTTTGAATTAAATTTAACTGGAAAATAATTCCGGAGCTCGTGAGAAAATAGCGCACGTATCGTTCAAATTAATTGAATTTTAAAACATATATTTAAAATTATTGTTGTTTGGTCGTTTTCTTCCAATACGAAAGACGAGCATTTATGGTTCTGCACAGTATAATCATCTCGTGGTCCAACATGGTGGATCCATGTGTCTCCATCTTGCATGTATGTTAAAATTAATTAAACATGCCTTTTGTTTTAAACTGAATAAATAAATAAAGTACTACTACTATTATTGAGTAACTTGTTATTTTTATGCGAAAAATTTAGATACTTGATCTTATATATATAATATATTTTTATATCAAATCAAATTCAAAAAAGAAAATTGTAATATGTTAATAATATTAATAAAAAATTTGTTATATAATAAATAATTTATAAAAAATCTACATGCATTGATTTAATTAGAAACAAACATAGAAAATATATAATGTTAAATATATAAGGATTTTTTCTATTTTTATTATATACTCACTCCTATCTTAATTATAAGCTTCAAAACTGTCTTACATTTTTGAAAAAAAAAAGAGAAAGTCATACTTTTTAATTTTGTTTGAAATTATTTTCCCTTAAATAACCTATTAATAATAAAGATTAAATGATAATTTGGATGATAAACTATAAGCCTAAGGGTAATTTGAACTTTAGATTTATATTTAATATATTTTGAACTATAAATAATTAAACTAGATATAATCTTTTCCTCATCGTTAATTTAGAATTAACAACCATTAATTTATGCATAGTAGGGCCCAGAAGCTTTTGTTACCCTTCCTCTCTCACTATGTCTCTCTTTGCCTTTTCCTCTTGTTTCTCCTCCTCCTTTCTTACACTTTGCTTTTGCTACACTTCTGTGGCTTGAACATGGACGATGAAATGTGAGGTAGGGATGCTATACTTCTCTATAGGGAGGGCTACGAATATAAATATAATGAGGTAAAGAAAAGCTTGTATCTTGCTATGAAGAGCGACTAGGAAGAGGGATGTCTCATCATCACAATTACGACAGTACACCAATAAACTGAATGAAGGGTCTGCACTTACAAGTTCGTATCCCCTATGGCTGCTTTGATCATGTTAGTCCTGATAGGTCATAATAGACTTCACCATTTCTACTACTATCTTGACCTTCCCTTTTGATATTGTTATGTTCTACTTAGTGTCTCCTGACCTTATTATCCTGGCCCTATGCGCCCTTAGATCCTTTGTGTACATCTTTACCACTCCTTACCATTTTTCTTATGGCATATGCAAACAATTCTTTGTTTTTAATGCTTTCTAGCTTTATGGATATAACTATGTCTTTATATGCTTCAATCACATGACTGCTTTGGTGATCTTAGTGCGTGGGTGGTTTAATTAATATAATAGTATAAGAGACAATCATTTTTTTTTTGTATAAAGGAGGGTTTCATGAGTTACCAAGTTATTACCATCCTAAAAATTCAACCCCTAATTTATTAACTAAATGAGGGTAAGTTAAGTAAATTTAGGTAATTTATAGTTAGAAGATCATTAGAAAGGGTTAATAGACCTATTGAGTTGTGGCTTCAATTTTAAGATTGGGTTTTAAGTTGAGTTAGGCCACTTGGGCCCTGAAAGAGGAAGAAAGCATAAAAGGATGATCTTTATACCATGTGTCGTGGCTTGTGCAACTTTCATTGTAATGCATGGATTAAATAAACACAAAGGGATGCTCCTTATACCATCCACCATGACATGTGATGCATATACATCAGCACATGGTCAAAAATTTATAGAAATAAGAGTGTGTTCTAGTTTAAAAATTGGAAA